AGATTTGAACAGCCGAACTGCAGAACTGCAGTCAGCTGAAGTAGCCTGCAGTGCTGCATTTAACCACTGCGCCACCTCGGCTCTTGAAGTCCACAGGTCTTAAAGTTGCCAAGGTTGGAGACCACTGATCTACAGTGTTAAATATCTCAATGTGTGTTAGTTCTAAGAATGATCTGGTATGAGACTTGGCTCCAAATTCATTTTGTTCTGATTCTTCTTTAATCAAAGTGATCGACTGCAGTCATCAGAAGGACACACGAATGTGCACACACACACACTGTTCTATTTGCCATCGGGTCACTTCGGTTGTGTTTTATCTGACCGGAAGCGAAAGGCATGGCCGTGTCTTCCCTGATCTGCTCTGAAACTATAAGCAGGTGAGTGTATCTTTGGATCTTGGTTTTCAAAATTGCTAAGAGCAACAGATGGAAGCTTATGAAAGAGAGATCCAACCTGGAATGACAGGTAGTCCTTGACCTACAACCATAATTGAGCCCCAAAATCCTGTTGCTAAACGAAGCACTTGTTAAGTGAGTTTTGCCCCGCTTTACAACCTTTCTTGTTGCAGTTACTATGAGAATCACTGCACTTATTAAGTTGAGTAACATGGTGGTTAAGTCAATCTGGGAGTCCTGACCTAGGTTTCCAAAGATCACGAAGTCGACTCCTCGTCCCGATAAACCTATTTTATTTAGTTTAAAGTGAATTCCTCTCCAGCAAAGTCCTGGCAAACAGTATTTTGTGAGATTTCACAACTACAGACCTTCATCAGGCTTGGAGAGCTGCCAGGCCGATATCTTCCAAACACCAGTCTGTAGCAGCAAGAAGTCAGGAACAGATCTTCACCCTAATGAATTGGGTCTAATTGTCTCCTGCAAACTCCACTCCCCTTTCGCTCCTCTTTATTCCCTATGGGAGGGGCCATTCACCATGTCCTTCGGGATTGGGTGGCATATAATTGTGGTTAATTAAATTAAATTAAATCTACCTGTGGATTTACTCCCAAGGTGGCCCTTGTTCCCTAGCTCTCCCATGTACACACATTGGGAACAGGCTCCAGCTGTTCTTCTGCCCCACTGATCTCCGACTCCGAAGGCAGCTGATAACTGTCAGACGGCCCTGGCCCCATCTCTGCCTCTGANTTAGACACAGGTTTTTCCATTTCTGATCCATGGAAATATAATATTCTGCCTTTTCAATATTTCCCAGGATATTTCATTTTCCTAGGAGAGGGGGGTGGGTTTTAACTTTCTACACTGACAAGCGAAGTCCACGGGGGGAGCCAGTTTTCAGGTTGCTAACTGACCACCTGCAGTGATTCAACTTAACAACTGTGGCGAGAAAGGTTGTAACATGAGGCAAAGGTCACTTAACAAATGTCTCACCAGAAAATTGGCTTTAATTGTGGTCATAAGATGAGAATTACCTGTACTATTACTTGGTGTAATTTTTCTCATTTTGCCAAAAAAAAAAAGGAATCTCACCACCGAAACAAGGTTGAGCCTCCTGGAAATTTATTCTGCAATTTTGCATGGTTATTACCGCTGCCAAAGAAGAGACCTGCTTGGATTGGGGGTGGGGGTTGGACTAGATGACCTACAAGTTCCCTTCCATCTCTGATAAAACTCCGTTTTAAATATCCAGTCCTGATTTTTCTCCCCGCTGCGATGCTACCGCCACCTGGTGGATGAAGAGGCGTGCCGCAACCTACAATTTGGGATTACAATGATTTCCCCCCACCCTCCCCCGCAGGTCTTTTTTTTCGGTCGTGTCTCTTTAAGATTTTCCAGGGCTGCAGGAAACCGGAAGTGTGAATGACACGAGGCGAATTTCTCCTGCTTTTTGCTTCTATTCCTGCTTCTATGGCTTTTTCCCCCTCCTGCCTGGATGGGAGAGAATGAGAAATAGACACAGGGGGTGCATCGGTGTTATTTTCGGTGTCTGCTCCTCTCTGCAAAGTTTGCAGGTCAGTAGAAAAAGCCGGTGGCCAAATATTTCCCTTTGTTCTTTTGCCTTTTGTGCATGCAATTGCTTTGTCAAAATAACTTTAATTTCCATGCTGGAAAGATGGGGGGAAAGATTGGATTTAAAGATCAGTTGTTTTCCAAGCTTTGCGACTTTAAGAGGAAAGGACTTCAATTCCCAGAGTTCCCCAGCCAGCCCTGCTGAATTCTGGGAGTTGAAGTCCACACCGCTTAAAAGTTGCCAAGCATAAAAAACATGGATTTGGGGATTAAATTCCCCAAAGCTCTCACACAAAAACTGGACAGGTAGTCCTCAACTTGTCTTCATCAATGATTTGGGGAACTCATCAAATTTGCAGATGACACCAAGCTGGCAGGAATAGCCAACACTCCAGAAGATAGGC